CGGGTCTTGGGGATGGGGCCGCCTTGTGCCAATTTCACCGAGCCCTTCCCTCCGACGCCTCGCCTCGTGGGGCTTTTGGGCACTGCCGGCGGCCAGAGGGGCGAATTTTACCCCCGATCGCCCGGGGTTTAACCCTGGGCCTCACCAGCCCCTACCGTAGCTTTGCGTTTTGGGGTGACGCGGGCGCCGCGCAGCCTCACCCTTCCCTCCCGGCTCTGCTCCTACAGCGTTTGTCACCTTGCTCAACGGGGAACAGGCGGAATCGGCCATCAAAAAATTCCACCTGAGCAAACTCCGGGAGAAGGAGATTTCGGTGCAGCTGCAGCCTACGGATGCCCTCCTGTGTATCGCCAACCTCCCCCAACTCTACACCCAGCAACAATTCGAGGAGCTGGTCCGACCTTTTGGCAACCTGGAACGTTGTTTCCTGGTCTACAGTGAAAAAACGGGACACTCCAAAGGTTACGGATTTGTGGAATATATGAAAAAGGATTCGGCGTCCAGAGCCAAGTCGGATCTGCTGGGGAAGCAGCTGGGCACACGGACTCTCTACGTCCACTGGACGGACGTCAACCAGTTGACGTTAGAACTTCTCCATTCCAAGTGCTTGTGCGTCGACAAGCTGCCCCACAACTACGCCGACGTCGAGGAGCTGCGGCAGGTCTTCTCCGCCGCCTGCGCTCCCACTTTTTGCCAGGTGAGGCGGCGGCGGCGTGTGTGGAATTTGGGGCGGTCAAAGTGTGTTTTCTGGGGCGTAACTACTCTCCGAGCCCCGCCGTGCTCTTCGCTGAGCTCACGGGGAGGTTGACGGCCCGAAGGGAGCAGCACCCCGGCATGCGACGGCCTCACGTCGGCGCGTGAGGATCGTAGAATCATGGAGTCGTTGAGGTTGGAAAAGACCTTGAAGATCATCCAGTCCAACCATTAACCTAAACCTGCCAAGCCCACACTATCGTTGAGGTTGGAAAAGCCCTTGAAGATCACCCAGTCCAACCATTGACCTGACACTGCCAAGCCCACCACCAAACCACTTAAGGGCAGAGCCATAATTTCATGTTCCTGGCTTGGATCATTTTTCCATGAAGTCAGACCAGGAATGGCTAAGGTTGGACAGGAGCTCTCAGATCATCAGCCCAACGTCACCCCAACACCCCCATGGCCACTAAACCATGGCCCCCAGTGCCACCTCTGCCCGGTTCTTGAACCCCTCCAGGGCTGGGGACTCCCCCACCTCTCTGGGCAGCCCCTTCCAACGCTTGACTGCTCTTTCCGTGAGGAAATTTCTCCCAATATCCAATCTCTCGGCTCTCGCTGGCACCAGCTCCGTCTTTTCCCGTTGTGCTAACCCTCCCTTTGGCGTCCCTCCCTTCTAGCTGGCCTATGGTCAGGACGGGCAGCTGAAAGGTTTCGCGGTCCTGGAGTACGAGTCGGCGGAGATGGCAGAGATGGTTCAACAGGCTACGGACGGTTTGCCGCTCGCTGGGAATCACGTCCGAGTCTCCTTTTGCGCTCCTGGCCCTCCCGGTCGCAGCATGTTGGCTGCCCTGATTGCCGCGCAGGCGACGGTGAGGCTTGTGCATGTGCTGCTTCCTCCTCCTCCTCCTTGCTCCCTCTTTCCTCCGCAGCTTGCCGTCACCGCGACAAGCGCTGCTGCTATTCCTGATGTCGGGTAACCAGCCTGGAGCAGGCTGCGTGGAGCAGCCAGCACATTTCCCATTGGATCCCCTGCGGAGCGGCCGTCTGTTGTCTGTAGCTCCTGCTCCAGGGCATCGCTGGCGCTCCCAGGCTCCAGTCACGCGGCGCAAATTCGCCCGTCGCTCCTGCCTTCTTGCATGCCGCCGCAAAATTCAGAGCGGGAACGCCGGTTGTCGCCGAAATCCAGCGGCCGCTCGGCACGGAGAGCTTTGCCGGGCAGGATCATAGGCAGCGGAGCCACTGATACCAATGGCAAATGATGCGG